TTTTCGCATTTCGCGTTTGAAATTCTCAAGTTCCATTTCTGCTGTTGCATGTCTACAAATATTATATTCTTATTTATTTATGAATTTAAACTACTTATAAGTATATTTGTAAAGAATGAAATAATTTATAATACAGGTATATAAAACGTACAAAGCTTTAAATTGCGTTTCTCTAACAGCTGAATTCATGGGACGAGCAAGAATTGGCTTATTCCAAGGTGTAGTACTATCTCTTTGCCAATTACCACTACTTTGTCGTACACCTTCAACATCTCCAACTCTTCTTAAACCAGATCTACTTCCTCGAGGACTAGCCATTTGACGAACTGGTTGCTCCGCTGCATTTTCTTCTCTTTCATCAGCATTTTCTGCATCGGCATTAATATTTTGTCTTTGTGCAAGCGCTTCGATTAATTGATCAATATTGGATCGTGGTTCTTGAGCTGGAAGACCTTCTATAACCTCTTGCATTCCTATAAAATATATGCCTTATTTTATATATATTTTAAACTTTAAAAAAATATAAAATTCTATATAAAAAAACAATAATAAATAAATAAAATAGTTTATATACCTCCAGCACCTACTGCAATATTTGGTACTAATTGTTCTCCTCTACAATTTTCTCTACCAGGAACCAATCTTTGTAAAGCTGGTGGATAAGGATTTCCATCAACATCCACTAAAAATGGTGGAGGCATTAAGTGAGGTGCAGTTTGCGTTTGTTCATCCAAAACGTAATTATTTGCATCTCGTATTAAAGGTCTATAATCCGTATGGAAAAATAATTCTTTGGGTACCTATATAAATATAAAAAAAAAAAAACACATTATAATGTTTATGAATATAATATGTAAAATTAAAAAAAAAAGAAATAATGTAACTATTATGTAAAAACAATAATACTTACTATTTTAAGTTTCTCTACACCAGATCCAAATCCATATATTAATAAATGTCCATGAGAATCTGTTGCTACTAACATTGTTCCATCTGGAGACCATTTTGCATCAAAAACAGCACCATTACCTTGTCCCTCAATAAAATTTTGAAAACATGCTATTGGTTCTGTATTTAGAACATCCCAAATTATAAGTTGTCCATCGTGTCCAGCACTTAATATGACACGAGGATCTATTGGATGAGATTCTAATACAAAGACTTCATCTTTATGTCCACGTAGGATTTTCATCAATTCAGCTGATTTTGCATTCCATACTTTGAGACAACTATCATTTACAGCTGTAATAACCCATTCATCGCTTACATCCCAACTAACCATAGTCACTTTAGCTTTTTTATTAGAATCATCTTCTGTTTCTGATTCTCTAGAAAATATAAAAAAAAAATGTAATTATTGCAATTACACAGAGAAGTATTCAATGATCATTTTGTAAACACATATTTTAATTACCCAGGAAGTTTTGTAGTCATTAACAAACGCTTGTACATCCATTGTTGTTGTTCAAAATTCCAAACATTTGCAGTACCATCTTTAGAACCCGAAATAAATTTTAAACCATTATGTGCCCATTGAATACTATCAACTGTATCAGAATGTGCTTCCACCTCTAAAACTCTACATGGACCGTCATCCCCTAACATTGCATATACTCTAACATGATGATCTGCTGAACCAGCAGCCATAAATGCTCCACCAGGACTAAATGAAGCACATATCATTTGTGCCTGACCAGGCCGCATTTTTTCGTGGTATTGAATTGGTTTTGGTCTATAAAAATAATCATTATATTCATTATAAATATGCATATAATATTCATTACACATATATAATATAAATATCAATGAAATTTACTGAAAAACTGCTCTTTCATTGGCTTTTTTCATATGAGACCAAAAAGCAACAGATCCATCTGTGCTTGTAGAAACTAAATAATATATACCATTACAAGATATAGGACAAAAATTTACAGATGTAATCATACCAGAGTGTCCAGATAAAACTGCAACCTTATAAAAATAATGAAAATGAATTTAATAAAGTTAATATATATTTAATGGGGTTAATTAATATTAAATATGTAGTCAACTTACAGGGGACATTGTTTGAAAACACCAAACTCTTAATATTCGATCAAGACTACCAACAGCAAGTAAAGTATTATCAAAATTTACTGCAATATCCATAATTTCAGCAGATGCTCCACGAAAAGTTGCTAATAATCGCCCATCAATAGAACTCCATACTTTAACAAGTAAATCATCTGCACCAGTTATTATATATTTCCCAGTACGATCAAATAGAACACAATATACTGCAGATAAATGTCCTAATGTGTGTCTGTACAATTGCATTTTATTGTAAAACTTTGTTGGTATTGCCTCTCGCCGACTCAGAGGTCCTGAATTCTCTCTTCCTTGAAGTACATGTACTATATAAAAGAGAAATAGTATAACAATAAAGTGCTTTATGTACTGGAAAAAATCATCAACGTTAAAAATTGTTGTAATAAATTTTTAAAAAATAAATATTCAACTTACCTATATTAGGCACTAATAAACTATAAGGTGAATCCAAAAATGATTTTCCACCTACTCTGCCAGAATATGAAATAATGCCATGCACTTGATGTTGAACATCTACAACAAAATTAAGATGTTCATCAAATAATCTCAATGATTACTTAAACATATTCGTATGTTTTTTCTTTACCCTCGTGTGTACGTAATAAAGATTGTCTGCCAACTCCTAGAAGAGATATTGCTCCTGGTATACATGGAGGTACCTCTTTCTCCAATACTGGTCCAATTCTGGCACATATTTGTAATAAATGATTTGATCCAATATGAGAATATTTTTTTTCCTAAAACATTAAAATTTATGATTCTTTTTACATTTCATCTTACAGGTGTTTAAAAATATCTTTGAATATTTATGTATTACAGAAGAATGTGCACGAAGAAGAAAATAATGAAAATTGTTTTACAATAAAATTGGTTCGCGCTAATAATTAAAATTAAGTAATCTAAAGTAGTTCCTATTTGCAACCAATCAGAAGACAAACAAGCGAACGCAACCACTCGTCACGCACGATTCTAGGTTCTATAAATAAGGTCCGAGCATGAGATATATTCATTGATCAGTGCGCGCAAGATGGCCGGAAGTTAACGCTTATTGGTTGAAAGTAATATGGTGGGGGAATCTTGTGCAACAGCAACATGGAATCAGAGCAGTGGAGGAGGAAGAAGGGTTGAGGAGTGGGACAGAAAAGGGGTAGCACCCTATTAGGGGTACTTCATACATTAGCATTTGACGATTAACGTAACGAAACCAAATTTATCATAATGTTATTATAAAAAATAACTTAATTATTCTATGATATACAACGAACTTTTATACACGAAATAAAACTTTACCTTCAAATATTAGTTACTTACCAACTCTTCAAAGGTTTGATTATGTACATATCCTTCCCAATCTAATCTTTGCGGCAAAACCTACGAAAAAATAAAAAATCATAAAAAAAAGTCGATCGACTGATCGATAATACTCGAGATAAAATTGGGCCAATTTGTCGAACGTCAAGGTCGCCGACCTTGAAATTCTAATGTTTTGACAAGCAGAAACCACGTGCAAACCATGTGGAGCCGATGGGTATGTATAGTGTCACCCCGGCAAAACGTCAACCCAATCGTCTTACCTTAGCTCGCTCCAATTCACGCTTCAACACCTAGAACGTACATTTCTCGTCATAATATGGTACAACGAAGTTTCATAGATTTTTAGTCAATAATACTCACGTCTGCGGCTTCGCGGCAAGGTCCCGCCGCTAAGAATTTGGCAATTAGGAAGTACAACTCTGTAAGAAAGAACGCTGCTTAGGAACGAACTCGCACGCCTCGCTTCGTTGCGGATGGTAAGGGCGCTTATCGCTCTCATTCTTTACCTGGTGCAATTGCAGTCTCATTCCTCGTCACGCTGCCCTCCATTTCGCCTGACCAATCGTTTATTATTCACTCACGGACAAAGAGAAACATTTGCTTTTTAGGGTCATAGCGCGGCAGTAACCATTTCAGATTTCATTTTCTCTTGCGAGGTCTCGACCGCGAGACGCACACGCACGCTCACCTCCTCAACGGAAAGTAGTCCCCCCCCTACCCGATTGTCGACACAACGTACCGTATTATCCAGGGATGTAACTTGTTTCCCAAAACCCTGTATAATTTCATTTCGATTTGAACCCCTCCAGAAGAACGAAACAATCTCTTCTTTTCTTTTACATTTCATTCAAAAAACAAAGTCAGGTAACTAGTTTTCACATTACTGTTACATTCTTAATTAAATATGTTAAAAGTTTCCATTGCGACAAAACATATTTATGAACGATATCTGCACTACGTAACGCGGTTTATTTGAAATTAAAAATACAGCGGTGATAACAGTAATTGTAACAAACGTGAAAAAATACAGATTCTTGATTTAAAACTAATATTAATTAAAGCAGGTTATAAAATGAAGCTTGTCGTTAATTATTATTATTGTATGTTGATAAATATTAATTAATAATTATTAATTACAGGTTAGTAAAATGGAAAGAAATTCTTACTTAAAATATAACATTTGTAACTCTACGGCGAATCGAGTTAAATAATGAATAACGATCATGAAAACTGCTGTTAATAAAAGAAAGTTAATGTCCTTATATAATCCTCGACTGTTTTTTATTTAGAATCTATAACATTGCTATGAAACATTAATGTGTTAAATTAATTTTCTTACTTTATTCGTATAATTGCTATAATATTGTAGTAATATTTGCATTTATTTTGTAATATGATATACATAACAGAAATTTTCATGCATTAAGAAATCGAATGTTGCTTATATCTTTTGTGAAGAAACATTAAAACTAATTAAAATATTATTATTTAATATTATTATATATATTTAAATACTTACATATATTTAAGTGGAATAAAAACATAATGTGCATTTTTCACAAAAGCTAAAACTTCAAGATGGACGCTAGGTAACTCGAATAAACTCGAAATATCGATGTGTAACGATATGTATATACATACTTTCATGTACAATGTATATGTATGCGACATCACGTCTGTAACTTTTCGAAAGTTTTCATAATTCTCAAAAAAATTGTTAATGAATATGAATTATTATATTGATATTTTTTTTATAAAAATAAAGAATATTACATAATAAATCATTATAATTTTTAGAGATGATAAATATGTGTTTCAAAATTCTAATACGGTTAAATGTCGACGTGTCAATGGAATAATGATTTTAATACATTTTTCCATGACGTTGTAAAATCAATTATCACTATTATTATTAAAAATTATAAAATTACAAATTTATATTAAGTTATATACATCATTTAAAATTATATGATATGGTAGCTGATAATATATAAAAAATTTAGAAGAAAATGGTTAAATATATTAGATTAATTTAAATTATATGTAAATATTAAGATTATATAACACAATTTCGGGTAATATTTATTAAACTTTGTATAAAAAAATCTTTTGTTAATACATCTTTCATATTACTGTTGTAAAACGATTTGGTTAGTGTTTTAAAGATTGTACTTAAAATTCTGGAACAATGTCATGGATAAGAGATAATACTTTAAATTGGTTTCAACATTTGGCTATAAAAATTTTAAGAACTGGGCATATTCCTAAACATGTAGCATTTATAATGGATGGTAATAGACGTTATGCAAGTAAAACTGGAATAGAAAAGATAGAAGGACATACTAAAGGGTATGTATTAACAAAAATATATGTATGTAATTTGTATTTGTAAAAGTATGTATGTACATATATATGTAATTTTCATATCCTATAGTTTTATATATTTCATGTAATGTAAATTATAATTTTCAAGATTTGATAAGTTTGCTGAAACTTTACAATGGTGCACAGATCTTGGCATACAAGAAGTAACATTTTATGCATTTAGTATTGAAAATTTTAAAAGAAAACAAGAAGAAGTAAATGGACTTTTAAATCTTGCAGAACAAAAGTTTCAAAGATTATTAGATGAAAAGTATGTTGGTATTTATGTATTTATATCTATAAAGCAATTTATTTAATTTATATACATATAATATTTATATACATATAATATCATATAACAAAAATTTAAATATAGGGATAAAATACGTAAACATGGATTGTGTGTCCGTATAATAGGTAATTTATCGTTACTACCTCAAAATATACAAGAACTAATTGCAGAGACTATGATTCTTACTAAGGAACATAATAAAGGATTTCTTAATATTGCATTTGCATACACATGTAAGTATATTAAAAATAAAATTATACATTATTATAAAATTATACACTATAAATAATTACAAATTAAAATATCAATATTATAATTGATCATATATAATATACAATATAAATATTATTCTCAAATTTCTTTTCATATTTAATGTTATAGCAAGAGATGAAATTACACGTGCTATTAAAGATGTAATTGAAGGTGTTCAAAATGGAGATATTCTTTCTGAAGATATTGATGAAAACTTGATTTTTAACTGTTTATATACTAATTATTCACCAAATCCAGATTTATTAATTCGTACTTCTGGAGAAGTCAGATTTAGTGATTTTCTCATGTGGCAAGTAAGTTTAAAAACTAAAAATCTACTTTTCGTTTTTCCTTTCCTTTTTTAAATACATTGTTATTTAATAAATTTCAGATATCAAATACATGTATTTATTTTACTAATGTCTTATGGCCAGAATTCAATTTGTGGGAACTTCTTAATGCAATATTTTATTACCAAAGATGTTACTCTGACATACAAAAAGTCATGAAATTACAAAATGTGAAGCAAATAATGCAGAATAGCAGACAATCAACATATATAGATAAATTACTTCATAAAAGACAAATAACACTTGAAAGAATATATTTGTCAAATATTTAAATAATATATGTGTCAAAACAAGTTTTCTTAAGATTAATTATAAGTGTTAAACCAAATTGAATTATCCAACATTGTATGTAAACATAATTCTTTCTAATTTACATTTATGTATATATTTTAAAAATATTTTTGTACATTTCTTTTTAAATGTTACTATATAATACTATTTAAATATGTATAAGTATTGAAAATCTATAGACCCTATTCTATTCTTATATAAAAAAAAGTCTTATATATATTTTTTCATATTGAGTAATTTCTTTTAAAAAATGAATATGATGTACATTGTACATAATGATAAAAACATGAAACAATAGAATGTTATGCATATACATAAATTTATTCTTCTATATATTATTCTTTTATATTTTATTATTTTACAAATTTGTATATATTTATATTGTATCTATATGTACAGACATATATATATTTATAAAATTTGTAATTAAGATATTTTCCTGAAATACCTTGTATATCAAATCTGCTGTAGTATATTAAATATTTGGCTTAATTTTGACTTTCTTCACTCTTTTTAAATATATTTATCTTTATAAATTAATAAAATTTTTTTATATTTTAAAATATTCAAAGAATTGCTGAAAACATTATAAAGTATACATTTACTAAATAAATATAATGTATCACATAAATATGACCAAGCAAATTATATTTATAAATTTTCTGAAATAGAACCAAAGTTATATATTATTGCATTTTGAGTTCATATATTTTATAAACACATTGTTTCATGATTTATGCTTTAAAAGTATAAAGATAACTAATATAAAATATGTTGTATATTTATAAAATAAGTGTAAAATAAATATATGTTTTTAATAAATGTTTTATTAATAATTAAAAAGCTAATAAAATATATATTGTCTAAATAAATAAAATCTAATAGTACAGTAAAGTTTTTAAGTTTTTAAGTACAGTCAAATTTAATAAAATCTTAACTCTTGTAACTATATATAATTTCATATAAATAAAATTAAGGAATATAAACAGTTTTTTGTTAGTTGTTATTTAGAGTTATAAGGTGGATGTCGTCTAGCAGATGGTTGTCTTTGTCTTGATAAAAATGATTGTCCCGGACCTGAACTTAAAGCTGCAAGTCGTTGATCTATTGCTTCTCTATGACAAGTTAAACCCAAACGATGAAACGCAGATATCATTAATTTTTCTTCCATTTCTTTAATCAATTTAGATTCTTTTAAAGAACGTTCCATATCTTCCATAATTTTACGTTGTTCTAAAATTTGATTCCTTAAAACAGCTACTTCATTAGGGGACGAATTGTTTTGCTTAGGATCTAAACTTTTTATAACGCTCTTTGCTTTTTCGACATATTTTTTATAACGTTCCTCAAGTGCAGCATTATCATATTCCCGACGTGTTAATTTTTCTTGTAATGCAAAAACTTTTTGTTTTTGAGCTTGTAATGCATTTTCTCTTTCTTCAACCTGTAAAACTAAACGTTCCTTTTCTGCTTGTACTTTTCCTAGTTCATCTTGCAATTGTGTTATCTTTTGTCCTAAATTGGTATCAGTTTTATTGTCTCCACTTGACTGATTTCCCAATGCTTCTTCCAATCTATTTTCCAATTCAATTATTCTTTGATTAGCTTTGCGATTTTTATCTCTAAGTATATTTAATCTTTCCTCTGAATCTTCTAATAGTGCTTGAACTGTAGGTAATTTATCTTCATTTCCTTTTTGTTTAAGTTTCAACATTTTATTTTCATGTTGCAAACAGAGTAGTTTTTCTTTAATTTCAAGAGGAACCATTTCTGTATTTGTAACAGTACTATCAGTACTAGGTTTTGCTATATTTTCTACTGCTTGCAATTGTGTACATTTCAATTCTTCATTAGTTTCTTTTAAAGCATCTCTCTCTACAATTAATCTATCTCTTTCTCTTTGTAAAGTACTTAGTTTTGCTTCCATCTTTTTCCCCTCAAATTCAAGTTTATCACATTTATTAGTTTGTTCATCCAATTTGTGATGTGCTTCAGCAAGCTGTTGTTTGCAAACTTCTAAATGATTACGTAGCATTACAGTCCGTTTTGATTCTTCTTCATAATCTATTTTAGATTGCAAATATTCTAAATTCTTATCTTCTAATATCTTAACTTGTCTTCTCAAATCACTCAAATCTTCCATTTTTTTTTTGTAGGATTCTATTGTTTGTTCATACTTTGCTACTTTATCTGCAGTTTCTCTTAATGCATCTATTTCATCTTTCAGGTGATTAGCTTCATCAGCTGCTTTTTGTAAATCTTCTTGCCTGGATTGCAGTTCTAATACTTCTTTTTCTAATAGTTCTACTTTTAATCTGTAATCATCTCTAGACGTTTCTACTTTAAATAATTCATCTTTCAATGCTACTACTTGTTTTCTAAGACTAGAATATTTTAAGATAGAACCAGATTCTTCTGGATTTTCAAATTCATCTAATCTTTCTTGAAGTTTTTTATTTTCTGTTACCAGTGCTGCTTTCTCCTCTTGCAAAAGTGAAAGCTGTTGATCAAGCTCATGACATTTTTGTGCTAATTGCTCTTTCATATCAACAGTTGCTTGAAGTTCTGCTAATAATCTTTGCTGAGTACCATCAGCTACGTCAAAAGATTCAAAATTGAGGCTAGTACCTAAACTTAATCTTGGTCCATGCATGTTGCTTTCCAATTCTTGAATACTCTGCATAATTGCTTGTTGGACAGTTTCTTCCATTCCCATAATTTTTGTTATATATTGTTGTTTCTGATTGCAATTAACTGCACATCCAAGAATTAACTGTAATAAACGGCGTAGTTCATGGTTATCACAGTGTTCACCAATTTTAATTGCATCAGGTTTAATATAACCTGATAACTGTTGGTTTAAGCATTCAATATAATATTCCATTATAGCCTCAACAATTTTTTTAAGGTTACTAACTTTCAATCGCCAGTTAGAATTAACATCAGTTTTAATTTTTGCTCTCCAAGCAGCAGTAAACCATTCAGGAGCAATTTGAGCTAAGACATCTGCTAAAGCAACACCATCACTTATATCTTCTGCTGTTGAATGAGGAGCTTCAAGATCAAATGTATCTAACCATTTAATCAAGTTGTTTAATTGTTGATCATCCATTGTTATATAAACGTATAATTAAAAACGTATCAATTTAAATCATAAAAATACCTATATGTATATCTGTCATATATAATAGTCTTATAATAGGTTGTTAATCCTTTAAAATTCTAAGCGAGAAAACTTATTATTTACCTCTTGATTAATTAGTGTAGAGGATAGAGATACTTCTACCATCTCTGCACCATTGATTGATATCGTATAGTTATTTATTTCCAATAAAAATGTTTTATAAATTGTACCAAAATATTATATTAACATTCCTTTGCAAAAAATAAAACTAGAAGAAACACTAGGCTCTCTTAAGTTACTTTTCCTTTTGGTTAGTTTTGTGGTAAACTTACAGAAACTACATTATATCTTTGAGAAAATATATGTTGGTAACAGTAATCCTCGTTTATATGATGTTGTTAACCAAACCAATCGTGTAACGGAAAAATCTATTCGTGAAATACTCAATACATAATACAAAGGCTTGAACATACATAAAAAAAAAAAACCACTGACATAATATGTGAATGAAAGTTATTCACATGTGTAAAAATGCGTTGTATATGAGTGTACATGCATTTTTGTAAGAAATAAACTGTATAAGATTAATCGTTATTAAATTACTTGAATCTACTACAGAAATATATTTGGACAGGTTTATGAAAATTTTATATCAAGTAAAAGTTTCTTAATAATATCATATATAGCATTCTTTTGTTGTGCAATTTAGTTTCATGTGGTAAACATTGATATAGTCATGGCAACTGAGTTGAAGGATAATTTAATAGATACGCACGAAAAAGAAAATAGTAATCCACGAGCTATATTTTATAAAAAACCTATTAAAAAAGATAATTACAACTTGGATGTAGATAATATTGACACTTTTCAAGAAATAAGACGTCGGAGATTGCTGCAATTTCAAAAAAAGTATGTATATATATATTTATTATATTTTACAAAAAAAACTTGTGAACATGAAATAACAATGTACATTATTAGATGTCGAGATATTGCGTTTAATGTTGGAAGAGGTATATTAGAGAAATCATTTAATTCTGAAGATGAATGCGAAGAAGAATTGGAAATTCAAGAAACTGATAAGAAGAAATATCATTCCTTTAAACGAAATAAGTATTATGCAAATCAGTTAATGATGTCTGAATGGATGTTGGAAGTACCTCAAGATCTTTTAGAAAAATGGATTATGGTTCCATGTCCACAAGGAAAAAGGACTTTATTAGTTGCATGTAAAGTATGTTGAAAAAAAAAATAATGAGATGGTATATTTTATTATATTTTTTTGTATTTGTAGGGTATAACGAAAGCATATAACAAACGAGGTAATAATTTGAGTAAATTCTATTCAGCACTTCCTGGTGGTAATTCATTTGAACATAGAAGTAATTGTACTATTCTGGATTGTTTATGGATTAAACAACAAAAAGTATATTATATCTTAGATGTACTTGCATGGTGCAATCAGTCT